AATCAACTGATGTTTTCGTTCAACCCGAATTACGACATAGTACACACGTTTTCATTCGTCGAGACTCACATCGACGACCCCTCGAATCAGCATATGAAGGACCCTTCAATGTTCTTCAACGCGAACCTAAATACTATGTAGTAGATAAGAACGGTACGAAAGATAGCATCAGTATCGATCGACTCAAAGCTGCGTACCTAGAAGAAAACCCTAGCTACGTCCATTTTCCTTCGGTACAAGCAAACGACACAGCTACTACATTCGTAGTACCCCACACGACAACCGACACACAACTTGATACTTCGTCAACGTCGATAGAAAAACCTAAAACAACGCGTTCTGGAAGAAGAGTAAGATTTCCTGAACATCGTAACGAATATTGCACGTAGGACATAAGCTTTATCTTGAATTACCCTTCCATAGTTCATTATAAAAAAAATTTTTGATATGATAATTTTTTATTTATATAAAAAAACCCAAAAAAAACAAAACATTTTTATTTTTTTTTTGAGCGTATATATACGTAGATTTTATATATATAAAAAAAAACAAAAAAACACACTTTTTTCCTGATCGCTTTTACGCTGTTGGTAAGTGTATTAGTTTATTTTTTTTCCCGCTCATCTTGTGTCCTTACGCAAGTACGAGTGTATTTTCGACATGCACTCACACGTTTTATTTTTCCTCTTTTCCAGGACGGCTGGAAAAGAACGACGAAGTTTTGCAAGGAACCGAAATTTTCATTGTACTATATTTCTTTATTGCTATGTTGTACATTTTGGTCCCATAGTTTTAGGAAAGACGACCAGACGCTGCTAAACGAAGCAAGCTATCAGAAGAGTGTTTACCAACGACAAACTCGTTGGGTTTAAACTTCTGGCTGGTCACGTCTTAGGGGCATCACTACCTCACTAGGGGGGGAGTGATCTGTAGCTGAAAATAATTCCCCAAAATCAATAGTTCATTAAGTGTTCGACATTGGATGCTGACCACGTGTTTAAGTGGACTTGTTTAGCTGAAGGCTTTCGGTCATGCATCCACACCAGATCACGTTTCGACTCGGCGTGGGACACAGCTCCTACGTTTCATTAGCCAGCTCATAGAAAAGGTCCTCGATATATTGGTAACGAATCAAATATATCTTTCCTGCCTCTTCTCGTCTGAATTCTGATTTTCTATCTGACTGGGAACGATCAAATATAGAAGGTGCTACTGGTAGCTAGTTGTAAAACTAGAACATCCGTTGCATCTTCACGCTCTTCGTAAGGTTTGAATTTGAGTCCCCGAACTGATTTCGTGGCTCCACGTTGTGTACGTTCCAGAGTGTCCATATCCTCTTGGAGGGAGGAAATACTATGTTTCCGTACTCTAAATGGGGACGAATAAAACTGTTGAAGATTATGTGGAAGGTTCTACCGTTAAACTGGCCAAAAATGCGCTTCAATGTTACCAGTGCAAGGTTTGCTTGGGAGGCGTTTTTGTTACAGTTCGCATACGATTTCAGGTCATAGGGTATCAACACTCCTAAATCTTTTTCAACTTGGGAAACTTCTAGAGGGGAGTTACCTAAGTTATAACTATAGTCTGCAACATGTCTCAGATGGACTACTTTGCACTTTGAAGTGTTGAAGGTAAGTCCGTTGTCGTCTGCCCAACTTTGAAATCGAGTCAGATCCTCCTGAAATGCTAGTATATCCTTTTGGTTACGTATCTCTCTCCAAAGTTTCACATCATCAGCTAAAAGCAATAAGTCAGATGAAACTTGTTGTGGAAGATCGTTAATGTAAATCAAGAAGAGAAGAGGTCCTAGTATTGAGCCCTGGGGGACCCCACGAGAACATTCCATAGCCTGAGAGAGAGTGAAGGTAACCCTGACCTTAAAGTGTCGGTTTTCTAAATATGAAGAGAGCCAATCAATCAAAGGGGTTTTTATAACCAATTGTCCAAGCTTCTTGATAAGACATGCGTGGTTGACCCTATCAAAAGCTTTAGAGAAGTCCAGGTAGATGACGTCAACCTTCCCCTTGCGATCAAGGATGGTTGTCCATCTATCCACCTCAGTCAGCAGGTTGGTCATACAAGAATGACCTTTTCTGAAACCATGCTGTTTAGGTGAGAAGAACTTTGAGGATGATAAGTATTCTTATATACCGTCGTATATTAGGGATTCCATAATTTTGGAAGGTATGGAGAGAAGGGCCACTGGTCGGTAGCTTGAGGGTTCACTGCGTCGACCTCCTTTGAAAGTTGGTGTGATGTGGGCCAGCTTCCGAATTTCCGGTAGTTTGCCTCTGCTTAGCGAGTGTGCAAAGATCACGCTAAGTGGTGTCGCCAGGATTGTAGCTGCTTCCCTCAAAACAGCAGAATGAACCATATCCGGATCAGGAGAAGTGTCTTTTCTTAGGTGATGCAGTTTACGGAGCACCAGGTCAGCACTCAGTTCAACGGAAAAGCGCCTCGCGAGATTCCTTAGGGATGTTCCGGATGAGACTTCGTTCAGAATACGGTATGTCGGGCAGTATACTTACGTTCCCATCGGATTTCAGTAAGTGACTGGCTAGCAGGACGTCCTCAACGTCGGAGGCATTATTACGTGTAACACGAAGCACCTTCGGGTGGTTTAGATGGTCAGAGTCCTTCCCCTGAGTGAGCCGTGTGACGGTCAAAGGCTCTGTTCTAGGGAGTTCAAGCCTCTTGTTTAATTCTCCCCAGAGCATCTTATCATTTTTGTCCTGCAAACTGAGAGGAAGGTCGGGGTTGTTAATAAGGTTCACTATTACGACAGAGTCGTCACGAACCGTAATTGATTTCCCAGGTTTTCCAGGCCGTCTAGGTTTGGTATCTTGTTGTTTGGACTTCTGGGAAGTCGCTTGCACCATCTCAGCAAGCCAGCAATTCCAGAATAAGACAAGTCCTTAAAAATAAAATGTGTTCATACAGTCAATTCTTCGACAGTGTGTCTCTCTAATTGAAAGGTCTCCTCAGCGACGCCTTACTATTATAGATAAAGATTCAGTGATTTTTAATTTCATGGGTCAAATTGAATTTGTGGCTCATCTTTCGGTACCTTCCTATGTATTCTTATCTTATGAAGTGAGGGGAAAAACACCTTATATATATCAGTAGGATTCTTTCCTTTAGGCGTGTTGTGTTCTGATGATTCCAATATAGTAACCATGATTCTTTGAAATATAGAAGGCCGTCTGCTTTGTTCTCGTTCTGAGTTTAGTATGGGGATACAAGGAATGCGTGAGTTTGGAGGACCATTACTTACTCACTTACACCTGTTACGCCTTATGGAGGAACGTAGGCCGCCCACCAGCACTCATCACACAACCCTGTCCTGGGCAATCTTTTCCAGTTACTGTCAATCCTTTTTATGTCTGCTTCCAATTTCTGACGCAGTGTGTTCTTCGCTTTTCCTCTTAGCAGATCAGTAGGTGTTAGATTATGCCGTCAACTCTCAAGGTTGATTATACCAGTTTAGACCAGTTATTGGTCAAATGCATATCGTTATTTTGCAGATGAAATTTTATATTCAGACCAGAGACTTATAAATCCAGATTCTGGTTGATGAATCCATTCAAGGAGATCGATCGAGAATTTTGTAGGTAAACCAATCACATAAAAAGGTCTATCAATGTAAAAGTATTTTCACCTATTATTCCATCATAGCATGTACACCAACGTTGTTGGTGTGTAAAAAATCCAATCTAGGTTTGGGCGAAGAATAACTGTCTGGTAAGAAAAGAAACGCGTGTAATTGGGGTAACAACGGTTCCAAACTTCATCATAAATACAAATATATGATGTTACCTAAACAAATATTACCACTCAGTTATTCAACCAATAATTGTTTTGACAATAATCGACCTAAATTACAATTAATATACAAATTGATAAGAAGTATAAGAAAACTACCGAACGCACCAAAAAATAAGTGTCATTCTATCCTTTCTGGATAGATCAAGTAAAAATCCATTCAAAAAGTAATCGTTTGTTGTTTATAACTCAAAGTGTTTCCAATTCTGGGAAAGTGCTCCAATTCACAACCGAAATTCACGATTCCAGTCAAATCAAGCAACACAATCAAAGAGGGAACAATCAATATGGCTGCCGCCAAGATTGAATATCAATTAAAACAACATAGATACAGTTCAGGAAGAAACAGAGAAACTTAGTGAAAGCGAAAGAGAAAAATTGCTAAAACTGTTATGAAATGAAACATTACAATCTCAAATGACATCAAAAAGATTAACAATAATGTACAAATAAAAAGCCATTACGAAAAAGTTGCAAATGTATGCATGGAGGGATTTTCACGCACAAAACCTTCAAAATGGATCTTACAGTGTGAATTCAACTGCTAAATGTCACTTCATTATTGATAGGCGATGATTTCAGTCAAAAGTGTACTACTGACTCTATGTGGTGAATGCAGACAATTATTCTTTGACATTTTAAATTGTTACCCATTAAATTTATATGAAAAAATTAAATATTTTCACTTCCAAAGCAAACACCTAAAACCTTGTGCAGGGTAAATTATTCAAACCCAAATCCATAACTTCAATATAGTCTACCTAACTTCAATAATTTCATAATAAGTTGGAATTTCTCTTCAGTGCTTCCAGGTTTTCCATCGTGGTCTAGCTTCGATTGACTTATGAATTTAAATATTAAATTACTATAAAATTCACAAAACCCCTATGTGAAGATAATTAAAAGATGACCTGATTGATTTAACAAATGTAAGTGGTATTGTGTCATTTATTATTGATTAACTAATTTACACATTACAAAATTTGTACAGAATAACTAAACATTAAGAAAAGCAACTAAGTCAAACTACCAACAACAACGAAAATAAGAAATCAAGATAGTGATGTATGTTTTAAAGATAGGTCAACGTATTGAATGAAGAACAACAAATTAATTATGTCCATCAAATTACACGGTATTCATCTTTTGAATTTAAGAATTTTTAAATTTTATGAAAATTAATTTGATAATCTTTTTAAACGACCAATGTAAGGTAAATAGAAGCTTCCAGTGTATAAAATATCATCATGTTCTAGTACTTCACAAGCATTCGGTAATTCATTTTGTAAATCTTTCCAAATTTCAATTATCTGTCCATTTTCATCTAAACGAATTAACATTGATGATTTTCCTTTTGGTGTTGGTTTGAATGGAAGCATGGAGATAATCTATTGTAAACACAAAAAAATGAAATATTGAACTCTTACTAAGTTTAGTGGGAAATTACACAGAAGTTAAATGTGTGTCACTAGATTCTCTGATCTACATGTATCATAATTCATTTAGAAGGTATTGTGAAGTCTAGTTTAATTTGTAATTAGATTTAGCTACAGATTTACATCAGTTAAGGTACAGGTGGAAACCAGGGGACATTTCTCACTTGTTCCATCCCATTACGTAACCCCTCAAAGTTTGCTCCTACTAAAGAACCGATATAGAATCGTTTGACTTTTGTTTATTTTCTCTGAAATGAGTTCTGTAGGTTTTATTGGAAGTTTATGACTGATAAATGACAACCTTGCTGGTAATAAGACAGTCATCCTCAATAATATTGTGTGATTGTAGCACTATATCATTAGTTAGTTGATATTGAAAATGTCCACGTCCACTGTTTTAGGTTTACTACTCAGCTGCCAATGAATTCAAAAATGTAGTGACAATTGAATGAAAAATATTGAGTACAAGAAATACAGGAAGATTAATAATCATACACTAGAAGCTAATTGACGAATACGTGGATAAGCTGGTAGATGATTGAGTAGAAGTACAGATAGAGGCTCATCACGAAGATTTGATACAGGAACCCAGTAACCACCACGTGGACTAGCTTTGATATTATCCGGATAACCAGGTAGTCCATCACTAAACATAGTCACTTCACCTCCGTCCAATGGAATTCGTAAAACTCGAAGTTTCATTGTTTCAACGACTAATATGGATTTGCCGTCATTACAAAGTTCGATTCCATTGGGAAAGCGTAAACCATCCATTATGTGACTGTACTGACCAGTTCGTGTATCAACCATTGTTAGCCTAAAAAATGTTTAGAGAAAAAACACATCAATAAGGATTGGTGTTCTGGAAATACAAAATAATTGGTAGGCATAGCCAAGCTTTATTTCATGAAAGTTCTGAAGTACATCACATTAATCTGATCTTATTATAGCTTTAACAGTTATTGAAGTCTATTGTTTCATCCATATCTGTTTTGTGTAAGTTTGTATATTTTTAGGTTTACTTCTCAGAATATAATGGTGATATCGTCGTTACTAAGAAGAATGTGATAATTGTATACAACATTTTGGTTCCCGATGGTCATTAGAATAATGTTTAATTGTATCCAAACCAACTTATTTAGTTGTTATTTAGCAGCATTAAAAGACTTAATTCTAAACATTTAGAAAAGAAGTATCCAACTGGCTCATTATCAAAATACTGTTGTAATACAACTGTATACTTCTCTTAATCTTTTAAAAGTAGTTTTCGTCTAGTAAACACTAATCAGTTGTGCTGAATTTCTCTAGAAAAATCAACACGGAAGACTGAAAGGATACATTTACCAATGCCTAGTACTGTGTAACATGATTTTGTCTTGAGAGTTAGGGGTCTAATTTTTGTCAGAAAATTTATTGGTAAACGCTGAATGTTTTGTTTTTGTCTTCTGGTTATAACTCAATGGGAACTTCTGCAGTTAAGAAATTAATTATAAACAGATGCTTATTACGACTAAACGGAATATACCAAATCAAATAGAATATTTCTTATTTTATTAACACTAACCGATCATGGACTAGTATACAATATTTTATTGTCTAGATCTTAGTGATAAACAGGTTTGTCAATAAGTTGTAAGATGTTCACTAGACTAGATGATTTGAATTTGTTCCATGCCTTGTCTAATATCAGGTAATTTGTGTTAGTCGGAACTCATCGCATTATATCTGCATTTTCGACATAGTTGATTCTATCTACATTTTCGTAAACTGTATCACCGAGTATTACAGTCAAAAGTACCATTACTGAACAAGTGTTTGCGACTGTCCTTTTGTAAGACTTTCTCTTTGAAAAATTGGCTGCTCGAGACTTCGGTTGCGTCTTTTTGACGAGTCCCAACTAATATACAACGTAGGTCGATGAGTTTCCGTTGATTAGCTCTGATGAATTAGTATTAAATGTTTTTTCATAGTTGCAAGCGTTAGTCAATTGAAGTTAAACCGCCATGGAAAACCTGAAAGCACTGGACGGCCGTTTCGTCCTATTGTGGGACTCCTCAGCAGTGCCCATCCACAACCTCGCCTCGCGAGATTCGAACCCAGGACCTACCAGTCTCGCGCAACTACAAAAATACTGAATCTCCACGAAACCTCTTCTGATAATATTACTAAATGCTTACATATTACAGGATGAAATTCATAAAAAGAGTATCATCTTGAGCCTAGTTAAAAATACCTGCATCTCAGAGTTGATGTTCACTCTGAGACTCGAACCCAGTACCTTTCGCTTCAAACGCAATCGCGTTATCCACTCGGCCACTGGGTCCCGATAGCCACTTGCTCGTGCAATGGGGTGAAGTTGAAATTTACTCAGTGTTGTTTGTTTGAATATTCAAACAAACAATACTGAGTAAATTTCAACTAGTTAAAAGTAGGTATGCATTAAACTACTGAAATATAAATAATTTATGAAAAACTTATCATTACCTTCCACTAGGTAATCCCTCTAAAATTGTTGTCCATAAATGTTGTAATGTATTTTTTGTACTAGCTTCAGTAATAATAAGACTACCATTTGGTAAAATTACAGAATCATCAAAAAATGTAACTTTGAAATTTTCATCTAAAGGGAATAATTTTTTCACACTACCTAAAATATTCCAAAATATAATCAATATCATTATTATTTATTGAACTGACCATCTTTTACCGAAACAGATAATACACCTAAATAAGCATCCGTAACCAAGAAATTCTCCGAATTATTGAACAATTTTAAACCTAATGGTCTACCACATTCATGTACACCAACTAAACAGAAATTTTGGTATATATTAGTGAACAAGATACAAAAGAACAAAAAATTACTGCAATTCAATGAACCAAGTGTTGCATGAATATAAATTCCAGTATCATTTATTCTTAATATTTTCCCTTGAATTACGGTGGTATACAATGAACCTATTGAATGATTTGCCAATTAAGAAAATACAAAAACCAAAAAAGTTACATTACTTACCATTATGATAAATTAAACTTTCAGGACCATTATAATTTATCAAATCAATTTTTTCTAACTTTCCATATTTTTTATTGGTAATAAGTTGATCATTCAATTCAATGGATGATTTAACATGGTAAATAAATGATGAATTAGTTGATGTATTCAAAAGACAACGTAGTATATATCCAATACAAATGACTATTATTGACTTAAGAACAAGTTTTTTCAGCTCTATCATTAGAATAGTGTCTTTATAACCTATGAACCGTACAATCTATCTATCTATCTATCTATCTATCTATCTATATATATATATATATATATATATATATATATATATATATATATAAATAGACCAACGTAACTTTGACAAAAAAACTACAAATATGATCAATAATATTTTGTCGAATTCTGTGACTGTGTTAATCTGGAATTTACTGACCTAAAGCTTGTTTTACAAACATAGATTTTCTAGTGTGCTTTACACAATAAAACATAATTATTATTGACCATATGACTATATATAATCAAACGCTAATGAATGTTTAATAATTTCATTGGTATTTTGATAGTTCTTTAAAATGATTAATTGTTTTATGGAGTTGAGATCATGAGTCAATTGAAGCTAGACCGCCATGGAAAACGTGGAATCACTGGACTGCCGTTTCGTTCTATTATTGGACCTTTCAGTAGTGCGCATCTACAACCTCACACTCGCGAGATTCGAACCCAGGACATACCAGTCTTGCGCCAGAGCACTAAACCGATATGGTTGCTCAATTTCGTGAATCGGTTTAAGTTAGACATTAACACCATTGGTCTATCGGTTAAGGCTCTGGCGCGAGACTGGTAGGTCCTGGGTTCGAATCTCACGAGTGTGGGGTCGTGGATGAGCACTGGTGAGGAGTCCAATAATAGGACGAAACGGCCGTCCAATGCTTCCAGGTTTTCGATGGTGGTCTAGCTTCAATCGACGCATGATCTCAACTCTATAAAATCACTAAAATCTCCATTAAACCCCTTCTGACCAATTATTTTGTTTAGGTTTTACACGTTATATGAAAGGATAAATCTAGTGTATAATATTTGTGATCAACTAGAAGGAAACTCTGATATGTCAGATGGTTGAAAGTAGTTGATAGGAAACTCTGAACTCAAGTTTCATACTACTCAGTGCTTATCAGAAATGTGTGCTTGTAAACTTGAAGGAAATGACACTCACTGTGAGATGTCAGGTACGCCTTGTTAAATTTAGGGGTATAGATTACTTTGCACTACCTTTCACCCATCATATATATCTCGATGTAGTGAACGTGATGTTGAGTCATTTAGGCGATTGGCCACATTGTAACTTGGCTTATAGAATTTGATAAGCACTAAATAAGTAGACAAACATTACATTGGTCATTATCTTGTGGTCAACCAGCTGTTAGTATAAGACTTTTGATCTCGATTTTTTGATTTCTAGAAATAATTATTACTTAGGGAACAATAGTTAAATATAATTCAAAATTAACAGAATTCACTTTTAATCTTAATGACTGAGATATAAAGTCTCTGATGGTCAAATTAAATCATATGGTCTCGAGTATCCAGAAGTGAGTTGCTTTCATTGTTAAGGGTGAATTTCGCATGTACATTGACTTCTAACAATTGACTCCATGTAAGAGTAAACAATTATATCTAGCAAATCGGTGGTAATAATGTTGTTTGGGTTAAGAATTACTACATTAAATTTTCAACACTTTAGACCATAATGTCATACTATCCCTAGGCAATTGTTTAGATAACCGATCTGAGTACAGATAGTTGTCTGTTGGCTATTTGTGAGATAGTTAATACTTCTAACAATCCATAGGAAAAGGATAATTGAACGGAGAATTCTTTTTTTAATGAATTCATATGATGTTCCACAGTTATATCCCTAAAATTATTGGTTAAAATAATAATTACATTTCTGGGAAATAAAGCTTTATATTACAGATATTAGATTTATGTTTTTGATTTAATGTGACAAGTTAATGAGGGTTTGCGGATATTGAAATAGTTTTCAACTTTAGTTTAGCGATGCATCTTTATGATGTTTAAAAACATTGGTAAGAGAGTAATAAAATAATAGTTGGGCTTAATTCTGATATGCTTTTAAAACTGACCAGCACAATGGATATTCAAACTGGAATAAAACGAGTGTAATCATGATAAATTTCAGTTGTGAAGATATTTGATGAGGAGGGGAATAAGTAAGCCAGCCACACTAAATCAAATATATATCTACTTTGTAATTGAAATGAACAGTTATATAGTCGAAGTGCTCAAGTTATTTGTAGAAGATACAATCAACCTGTTAGCGGGACATAGATTGAATAAAGCATGTTTCGTGTACGATTGCGTTGGCGCATGCTGACTGGTCAAAATTTATCCAATCAGCGCTAGTCGATACTTGGAGAACACTCTAGAATCTCCTCGCGTAAAAACTATAAATATACTAACGTATTTCTTATTGAGTTTCTTACTTCCATCTGTCCTTGTTATTCGGAATATAATTTCGTTCCTGTCCAACCATGTTCTGATTTGGGGACTTGTTGAATGAATTGGCGTCCAAGAATACCAAGCAGTAGGAATAGCTGGTTTGTAATACGAGAAATTCTAGCACTACCTTTTGTGTTGTGAATACTATAATATGATCATTTTGTGGGATTTTGTCACCACACAATTTCTTTACATTATTTTTACTACAGTAAACAACTGATCAATACACGCATATTTTTTCGAAATAACTACAGTTAAATGTGACTTTATCGAGACATAATAAGTGATATTGATCAGAGTGGGAAGGTAAATTCTTAAAACTCCAAGCACTGCAATGTACTGTTAAGAAGTTAAACTGACAGATACAATGGGAAGTCGTTAGTTCAAGTAATTCACCTTTATTTTTTCCTTTTAAAAATGAACAATATTTGAGCGAACAATTGTTTTCAATTACTTCATCATCAGGCTCTAAAGTTATAAGTCCATAATTATTATGATATTTTACAAAGGCCAAAATGAGGCATGTATTAATGAATTGGACAATGTTATATGTTAAAAAATGGTAAACGTTTGCATCTGCTATTACGACATATATACTTTAAAATTGTATTATTTGTCAATTGGAAAGGTCATTTAATAAAGGTGTAAAATGATTTGTACTCAAGTGTCTAGTCATAATCAATATAATAGTAACTTAGGGAAAATGAAAATGCCCAAAAACGGTGTAAATAAAATTCATAGTAGGAGAATTTCATCTTGTTAATTGAGATAATAATGATAAATAGTAATAAGATTGTTGTGTGAATATAATATGTAATAAAAGGGGATGTTATCAAGATAATTACGATAAAGGAATTGGGAATGATGGATGTGAAGATTAAGATAGAGGTTATCAACAAAAAAAGAAAGAAAAAAAAGGGAGGTTTATAATATTTAGTTAAGGAATCCGGCCGTAGGCCAAGGTAAACATAGTGGCTGGATATACTTTTTCTGGATGCATAAGTTTGGTTTTCTGGAGTTGATCCAGATGGCTTCGGCTGTGTAAAGTAATCATAATCTAGCTCTCTGAGGAAAACTTTTCGGAATTTGATATAAAACAGAGAAGGCTTCCTCTATTTTGGTATGATGTTCACTGTCTACCAAGTGAGAAAGGATGGCGCTGTTAATGGATTTAGTGACTCCTTTTCCCTTTTTCCTTTTACTGCTTCACTTTTAACGTTTCTTAGATTACTTAATACTCCAGTGAACAAATAATTTTCTATTAAATTGCATCTGCTTTATTGATTTTAACTAGAAATACAGTCTTCCAAATTGATCTACGAATTACTTTGAGCTTTCACTGTTTACTAACATTAGTTAGATTATTTTTCTAACTTAAAACTCTAGATTCTCTATACAAGACTGTATCTGCCTGAAATGTAACTATTATTTTAAGCAATAACCTTTTCTTATAACCATATATTTCAATGACAATATATTGGAAAGAAAACTCTCCTTTTATTCATCAGTGTGTTATGAAGTTTGATTCAGTTAAATAGATTAGTAGAAGGCATGATCATGTTGTTTAAGACAGAGAGTAGCGGGTTAAACTATCCGCTTCAAGTTTCAATTTCCAAATTGTTATAATCTGAGGCTGGTGTTATTTCTGTCTATTGTTTCCCTTATTAAATGTATGTGTATTGTGTACGCTCGCTATCTTTAAACGACAAGATTTCTAAAAGATCTATGGACATGGTTTGTTTATTAGTTGATTGGAAATGATTAAATCAACTTGTTGAGAATGTTTAGTGTTTACACACTTATAGGATGTATGATGAGTCAAGGGAATACAACACACAGCATATAAGTGCAAAATTCATGAATAAATGATAAGTAACATTTCCTCGCATTATCTTCTAACCTACCTGTATTTAAAATAATGAATACAGTACTTCATCGATTTCAGTTGAGTTTGAATATGTTTTTGAAGATATTACTCCTATGTATGCCTCAAGAATTTCAAAGTATAGTTTAGTTCTCTGGCATGACGTCTAAACAGATTAATTTGTTCAACAAAAAAATGCAGGGTAATCACAGAAATTTCTGGTTGTGAGTTGGTGTATGACTGTAACGTTACTTCCACCATTCGGATTACTTAAGTATCATTGAGATCGAACATTCTATTCCACTAAGTAAGGATTTCATTTAAGTTATGATTTCCATATATCAGCATTTAATTCATTGATTAAGTCTAAGATATGATAACTCAGACCTAGAGGGTCTGTGTCTAACCAAATCTCTGAACTCATTCAGACAGCTCATTTGACTTTTATCAACATGCATCAATTGTGGCGTAGACGAGATATCCGTCTGCCGAACAAAGGATGAGTATATGACACAGCACTTTTATTTCACGGTTGTCAGTTATGACCATTAAAAATAGAATACATTTGTAGGTTACTAGTATTCGATTATTGATGTCTTCGAAGCATCGCCAGTATACTTTGAGACCACTGAGTGTGAAGTTTTAAAATTCGGCACAGAGTGCTAGGTAAATATGACAAATCTATTGACGAGGTAGTGAATCTTCACTAACTGCGTTGTTGGGACATGTCTTAAGTACTCTTGATATTCGCCCAACCACGGAGGACAATGCTGTCTGTTGAAAAGTGGGTTGAAAGGTCGCTAGTGGCTGGCAAACATGAAATAGTAACAGTACACGGAGAAAAT